GGTACCTGTGTGTAAAAAAACAAATATATAGTAAAAATGGAATCTGCTATACTTATATCCTTACCTCCTTTTTACCATTGTTATAGTCACCTCATGTACATTTATGTGAAAAAATATCAGGATATCTGCCTCGTCAAATGTGAAAACAACATCCGTAGTAAACGTTTGGTTATGCCAAAATGTTTGATATAAATAATATTTGTATATCATTTTCCTTTCCAAGTCACTTGCAAAAAAGAAATGAATTTATCATTTTGTAAGCTAAAGCCTTAGAACTATAGATAGAAATGAATTTATCATTTTCTAAGCTAAAGACTTCTATAGATAGATACTCGCGTATGCCATAGGCGAATTTAAAATATCGTGACTGACATGTTTTCTGTCCTTTCCGTTCTTTACGTGTATTTTCTAAATAAAGATGATCATTTAATAATGATAAAATGGAAACATTTGGGACGTGATGACAACGATGTCTCTAAATATTATCCGCTAGTTCAATGGTAGATATTTCCAGTTTATCATGAAAATATTTGATTGTCAAAACACAACAAAATGCACCATTCATACCAACATCCCAGTTTTTTCGGGGAAGGGGGTGCCCGTACTCTCCTTTCCGGATGTGAGCCCCCTCCCTTATCTACCTTGTAGCCGCGTGCGTCGTCAACTTTACCTGTGTACTCGTCCAAATGTAGTCCAGGGTTGTTCAGTTCTACATCAAATTAACAATACATACACTGATGACTAGATCACATAGAGGATAGATATATAATTCATGATTGCTGGTATAAATTTTATTTTTATATGACCTTGCCGATTTTTGATTGCTAATAGTTCGTGTACTTTATTGAATTTAATGCTGGATATGGAACACATATCCACATATGGATCACAATGTGCATTTTGTCCATTATTCCCATCATACGTTGCTGATATCTAAAGAATTGATCGAACAAAGGTTTGTGTGGTATGTGTGTCATTATTACAGCTCAAGATTGCTTTATTATGAAGTGTTTTGAGCTTATTTTTAGTCTTTTTCTTTATCCTCATGTTGAACACCTGAGCCCACGGCAACCAAAATTTCTAATAAAAAAAAATTATAAAAAAATAGAATTTCGATCTTCACCAATAATGTTCATATTTTAAAAATAAAAAAAATAACAACAACTCAGTTGTTCAAATTACCGTTCCATATAGTCCTAATTAGGGAGTTTAACTAGCATACGTTTTATCGAAAACCAGCATATCTTTTAAATCGATACATTTGTCGTTGAACCACATGAAGATGCCCCTAGTGTTTTATACCTATAACAAATCTTTTGAAGCAGCTTCCCATTACATTATTGGTTTACTTGAAATACATACTGTATATTAAAAAAAATGCTGTGTGTCAAACAGAAAAGAATATTTTTGAAAATTAAATACAATTCCAATATAATTGTAGGGAAGGGAGACAATTCAAAACAAAATATCATTATAATTTATAACCTACTTATTCCCCTTTTGCTACGAAGCAGCTCGAGTGGTAACTGGATCCGTATCAGTTTTAAAGAGAAAGGAAAACAGACATACATGTGTGCCAGCTTTCAGACAGACGCACATCCTACCGTTAGTTTGTATATATATAAAAGAAAAAAACAACATATTTTTTAGTTATTACCGAAATATATATTGTAAGCGCAACTATATTTTACTATCTGCTGAGACGGCGTTCGCGGTTTGAAAATTATTTATATTTGTTAAGAAATACTATTTATTTAATAGTGATTTCACTACAATAGCCAGAAGAACGGAACTTTATTTAAAGTCGACTTCCATCAGCGCTACAAATATGGAATAATCTTCCAACAAACATTTGAAAAGTTTGAGTCGTTCTAACGTACGTACTTTGAAACGAAATCAAACAACTATATATTATTTATTTATATAAACCACCAGTAGTTGCATCTTTCAAATTACACTTTGCGCGATTTCCACATGTTAACCAAAGCAGAGACTTTTATTACATATTTTAAATATAGCTCTGTGACCATGGTGACCAAATCCACATTAGAACATTGCAGCTATATTGTCACACTAACTAAGAGAGTACTTTTCTGTAAGTATACACTGCAAATACGTAGATATACATAAAAGATATTGAGAGAAAAAAACCATTGAAAAAACATTTCATGGTAGATCTATGAGCAGTTTGGGGAAATATAGATGATTTATATCATAGAGCAATGAAGCTAAATATACATGTTTATCAACATGAACCGCGGCGCATGAGTGTAATAAATATAGAGGAAATTGAATGAGTGTATAAATTCAATACTGAATTTATTGGCGAGCATAATACTATTTTATTCAAACGAGTGCAATAAATTCAGAAATGAACTTACACGAATTTAAATATTTAATTTATCACATACCCAAAATAAAGACCGTTTAAAGTGAAATAAGAGTCATTTTTCATTGACGCGCCTATAGTATAAACGCTAAACATTTAGCGCGTCTTTACACCATGTTTGTACGACGTCACGTCAAAATATATGCACGCGGCCGTGCAATACCATTTTTACGGAGTCGCATTTTTACGGAGTGTGTGATAAAGCCGTTTATCACACACTCGTGCATTTTTACGACTCCGTAAAATGGTATTGCACGACCGTGCATATATTTTGACATGACGTCATTAGCGTTTCAATATACAAACATAGAGTAAAGACGCTAAATGTTAGCGTTGTATTAATTAATACTATACAGGCGCGTCAATGAAATGACTCTTTTTCACTTTAAATGGTCTTTATTTTGGGTATGTGATATTAATTCGTGTAAGTTCATTACTGAATTCATTGAACTCGTTGAACTCGTTGGTGGCCCTAATCTATGAAAATAAACGAAATCTAATATATATCCCAGCTGGGTCTTTCACAGGCACGAGTATCGGACCTGGGCAGAAATGCAAGTAAAAATATGCTAACTAACTACAGTTAGAAGATATTTATGCAGATATTTTAGGTTCAGTTCAAATTTTATTGTATGTTGACAATAATTAATAACAATTAATTATCTAAGTATTAATTATTATTTTGTTGCTGCAAGCCCTGAGCTTTAAATAGTGGAGAATCCTAGAAATGCATTTTCGGTTTCATGTTAAATATGGCGCCAAAATGCGATAAACACAGACTATTTAGTTTTTATTTATTGGGTACCATAAAATGCTTGACTTTTACATTGCCAGTAAGTTGTGCAATAATGGAGAAAATAAATATTCAATAAGGTCGAAAATAAATGGGGTTGCAAGCTGTTGCGCAATGAATTTAGTAAGTACAACATAGAATAGTTCTATATTTAGTAACAGCAGTCTCTACTTTATATGTGAAATTCTGTGAACCCGACCAGAATTATTTTCTGATTTACCACGTGCAAACCCCGTTGAACTTCCTTTTCTAATCGGATCACAAACCAAATCAACATGCCCGTAAGTATTGGTGATATTTTAACTAAAATATACGGCAGTTTCTTTATTTTAGAAGGAAGAGATGAATATTGTATTGGCCAATGTCATTGCCGTTACGGAATTTATCGAAACGTGCTCAGTTTTACCTAAATGGGATGTTTAAAACTTTATTTTTCGGAAATGTCAAATTCACTGAGATCTACGTCAGATCATCAGCTATATTTTCAAGGCGTATGTTTTCATATTCAATGTATTGTCATGCAGAAATAGTTGTAGCACGTTAAATATATAGATCTATTTTAAATGGATAGATAGGCATCGGATAGATAGCTTGATGAAAAATTTGCACTGACCTGACATAAGGGAATCCGGGTCAGCTCGGCCCTAAAACATACTCGGCCCCCGAGTCAGCTCGGCCCTATTCCAACTCGGCACGGGTCAACTCGGCCCACTTTTAAAAATGGGTAAAGGACATCAATGGACTCCTATTGTCACGGGCTATTATTATCAATCAATGTGTATGTTTGTTAAAGATACCGATTAATTAGGTGATAATTATGATTGACTCATTCATTCAAATTTGATTAGTGACCACCTGAAATTAATTAGAAGCTTATATGCTGTTAAGTAAACACGTTTTTGTTTCATATTTTTTTGAAAATTACTTTACAAACAAAATGCATCTAAGGAAACACATTTATATTATATCTATATTCACAGGCACAAGTATCGAACCTGGGAAGAAAAAATATGAAGTTATTTTATCAATCTGTTCATATTTTTTCTTTCCAGGTTCGATAATCGTGCCTGTGTCTATATCAATTTTATCGAATCTGCAAGACAAATAAATTACTTTTCTTTCTAAATATACTTTATTTCCGCAGAGGTACAATGCATAATTATATAATAATAATAAGATATTTCTTATTATTCATTTACCTTTACAACATGCAAAGCAAAGTAAATACGTTATAGGCCTATATATTTTTGTAAAGTGGGCCGAGTTGACCCGTGCCGAGTTGGTATAGGGCCGAGTTGACTCTTTTCCGACATAAGGAATACACTAGTTCTGGCTTCCAAAACTTTATAAGCCGCTATTTAATATTTTTGTTTTTCATCTGATGCGGCATTAAAGTTTTGGATTAGACCCGTTACGAAACCTAACCAGAATAACATAAGTTGATTTATTCTTGTTTTTCACTTGCAAATACACTTGACCTAGTCCTAATTATAAGACCTATATCACAGGGGGCCCACACAGTGTTTGGATGGTATATACTGCTTGATAGTGACCTTAAAATGAGATTTTAGTCATAACCTTATAATATGTATATAAATATAGACAAGGGGCATTACTCGGTAAATAGAGAATTTTCGATCACCCTCAAATTCATGCGAGATTTTCCACTAATTAAATAAAAAAAATCCAAAAACTATACTGCGTTGCATAGCTTATATAATCCACAATTGATAAACACTAACTCTATTTTGATTCCCTTAGCCCATTTTAAGAAATTTATTCAAAACCGTTCACTTCTGTCACAAAATTGCTTAGTCGTACGAGATGTCGCAACACCAAATTCCACGGGTAAAATATCAATTTTAAAAGCGGGAGGTACAAATAAACGCATGCAAACAATAACACAACATAGTTTCTATTACTAACCTGCGCAAATAGTCGTGAAGCGCTCTATATTCGTCTGTTTCGAACGAAATCTTCAAATCAGAGCAGAAATCTGCTTCGACGTAGACATCTTGGGGAAACCCCGGTCACGTGACCAGCCGGTGAATCGAGACCTTTCATTGGTTCGGTAGGAACTTTGTTTATAACAACAACCAATGAAAGGTTTCCATACACCATGACCAGAATTTCCAACATGTATTCGCCGAAGCAGATTTCTGCACTGATTTGAAGATTTCGTTCGAAACAGACGAATATAGAGCGCTTCACGACTATTTGCGCAGGTAAGTAATAGAAACTATGTTGTGTTATTGTTTGCATGCGTTTATTTGTACCTCCCCCGTTTAAAATTGATATTTTACCCGTAGAATTTGGTGTTGCGACATCTCGTACGACTAAGCAATTTTGTGACAGAAGTGAACGGTTTTGAATAAATTTCTTAAAATGGGCTAAGGGAATCAAAATAGAGTTGGTGTTTATCAATTGTTGATTGAATAAGCTATGCAATACAGTATAGTATGTGGATTTTTTTTATTAAATTAGAGGAAAATCTCTCATGAAATTGTGGGTGATCGAAAATTCTCTATTTACCGAGTAATGCCCCTTGTCTATATTTATATACATATTATAAGGTTATGACTAAAATCTCATTTTAAGGTCACTATCAAGCAGTATATACCATCCAAACACTGTGTGGGCCCCCTGTGACCTATATACGTAACCTATTTCATATTTATCATTCATTAATCTGATATTTTACATTTTTCATTTTCCATGTTACGTTAGGTCTTAACAGATCTTTGCAAAATCGTGTAGCAAAAAAATTGACATTAGACATCGATTTAGATCTAATGCATTTAAACAATTAAAAGAGCGTGTATTTACATAAATTTTGAACTATTTATGAACAAAACTAAAAATTAAATACCTTTTAACAAAATAATTGAAATGTCACACCCGAAAAGTCATAATTAAATCCTCTCATTTAATTAAATTCCATGTACAGCCGATATACAAATGGCCGCCATACAGTGCGCGAAATCTGATTGGCTAATTCAAATGCAAGCATTATTTATAAATGAGTCCAGAAGTTTCTAACGGAATATTTTTTCAACGAAATAATTGCCCATGCACCGTCAGTGTGTTCGAAAATATTTTTCCGTTCAAAAAATTGGAATCAATCTGTAAAACGCTTTACTTAACCAATATGGCCGATGAGCGAAATAGATTGATATTTATATTTTATTTTTAATTGATAAGTAAATTGTTTGAAACTTTTTGTTAATGATAGACCATGCAATTGAAAGAACAGAAGATAAGCTTTTGAATAAAGCTTGAAAGGCAAGTCAACAGACATTTTTTTAATTTTTCAAAATGCTACGCGTTTTTGAGCAATAACTATTAGACGTCAGGCTTGACCAACATAAAACTATAACAAGCCTGTAACGTCTAATATATTGGACTACACTTGACCCAATCAATTCTTGTGCATTTTACGATAAAACAATTATTTTAATATCGTTCTATACCAATTAAAGTATCAAAATAGTAATACTGTCATTAAAATTGCCTATTTAACTGTAAAACATCAATTTACGCCGACTACAGTCGGCCATGACATTCAGGTGCCACGCGAGACCTCGTATGACGTCATTCGCGGGAACAGATTTGAATAGAGTCGTGTACTATATTTAGAACATTTTGTTGACATGATTTCGATATTTTTATTCAAGATAATGTTTTTATTTATTTTCATTAATTTTTAAGTACTTAAATATGATTTTATTGAAAATAAAAGTCAGTAAATCACCCTTTTCAATATCTTAAAAAAAAGTAATTTATAGAAATATTTGAGGCACATGGGTTCATAAAGGTCAATCTCGTAATCACGTGGTCAATCATTTTGGCAATATGGCGGCCAAGTGCCGAAATTTTTACCTGTCTGAAACTATTAGGTAGTTTATGTTCGTAATAAGATTTTTATTTGTCCATCATTGCCTTATCAACAGATTATATATAGTTTTATCAAGGTATGCTTCACTTTACTTCATGGCATGTTCGATGAATAAATACGAGCGTGTCAGGTTCCTGGCACGATTATTGGTGGACTTCCCTATGGGGTTATCTTCAGTGTTCACGTCATGTCATAGTATATAAACGGGTACGCTGAAGACCTTAAGCAGGGCTCATCCGGAAGGGCGATTCAGGCGAAAACTTCGCCGTGTATATTCCAATTTCGCTCTTCCGATTGATCAAAGAGAAGTCAACATCGCCGATAAAATCTTAATTCCCAAATAGTAATTACTTAGCGATGTAAAGAGCAGAGATTGTATCCGCCCATATGACGACCGCTAATTATCATTACCCAATCAGAGCGTCGCTTTATACTACCCTTCTACCTGTAAGCGAAGCGATAGACCGCCTACTCTAAACAGTAAATAATGAGAGCATCGGCCCGAAACGGTATAATTGTGTGATAGTTTTGCGAGTTTAATACGGGATTTGGCGATAATTATAAATTGTTTTTTCCCCGATTATCTAAACAAGTGCAATCTTCCCTAATTGATATTGATATACACGATGCACTTCGATTGTGGGTTTTTAACCCGAGTAAAGGCGATGTGCGGTGGATTTTTCACGGCTATCACAAAACTGTTAGTCAATTAAAAATAATCAATTTCATTAATGATCAGCGACCAGATTAAAAACTTAATCATAGTTTTGAATGATTTCAGTCTGTTAACATCAATTTTTACTGTAAAATTGTTATGTCGCTCATGTCATGGCTACAAGGCGAAATGCCGAAACCGAGCAGTAAGAAAGTTACTGATTCTGATAGTTACACCTACGCGAAAATTTAAGAAAGCCAATTCGCAAAAACCTTGCGATTGGTATGTTGTAGACAGTAGGGGTGTTTGGCATTGTTCTCTTTGTAGAAATGCCAAAGTTTACGCACGTGGGGAAGACATCGCGGCTTGACTACATATCGGTCGTATATCATGTAACGTGTATATAACTGGAAAGAAGTGTTCGTATTGTTTCAAAATAAATTCGTAAATATGACGCTCAGATTAAGATTTATCAATATTGTAAATTTTAAAAAGCATTATTTATACTGTAAAGATATTACCGAATTTAACATTACATGAAAATAAAGGGAGGTAATTAGAAATTAATTTTCTACAATTTCTCAGTCAAATTTTTCAATAAGAAATGAATGTATGTAATTTTAGTGATCAAATATAATGTGCACAAATGTTTGCAGTACATATTTTACATATTCTTTGATGTTTGAAAATTGTTTTATAAGCATAATTATATGCATATAAATGTGACATTACAACGTTCAGGACTTAGAGAGAAATTGCTGTTCCCAGAACAGAATAGAACAGATATTATTAATCAATATCCAATGTGACTTCATCTTCTTTTAAAGGTGAGGAAAGTAAAGTAACAAATATGAAATTGATTTTATCATCATACCTTTTCTTACACATTATTATAAAAAAATGTACATGAAAATAAATAAACACATATTTAGAGAAAGCTTATAAATAACTGATCAATAGATATCAAAAATAATTTTTTATATTCATATTTGCAGCTCAAAAACATTTAGATGCAATTGCCTGATCTACAACTAAATAATTAATCTACTTTTAATTAATACTACTATTAATTAATAAACTGGAGAAATATTATAAGTGATGTTAATTGTGTTTATATTATAATTAAAGGATGTATAGCCATGCATGTTAATGCATACACATTGGGTTGTTTCCCTTCTCCCTAATTTTCGCGAGGTCGTCACTTCTCCCTAAAATTTCCCCCCAGGATGAGCCCTGTTAAGCTAGGAATACACCAGTTTGACCTGCATATAGTTGCATGGAGCTAAATATAGAGTACAGTTATGTCCACATATCTGTGATAGTTGGAGGGGTATTTCATGTTTGTGTTTAAAAATGTTTGTATTCATACAAGTAGTTTTCAGCACAATCATTGATAACAAATCTCAGAGTTACAGTGTTGCATCTAGAATTTCAAAATTATGGGGGATTGTCCCCCACTCAACTGAAAAATGTGGGGGATTTGAAAAAAATGTGGGGGACATACAACCTTACAATATGACGTACCGAAAAGAATTAATTTATTTTACATTTAGGCATTTTTGACAGCTATCGTCCACTCAAAAACCGAAGTAGAAAAAATAAAGTATTGACGAATACTACAAAACACACATGAGATGACCCAGTCAGTCAGCTGCTACACGTGATTCAGTATGTATTTTAGTCAAAACCACAAGTGAAAACAAACATGGCTGAAGCGTTCAAGATACAATGTAGATAAACTGAATTAAGTTGAAAAGATTGTCAGATGCGCGACTTGTCGCGCATTGACTTCATTTAAATGCGCGATCTGCATAAAAAAATGGGCAAATCGCGCAATCGCGTGGCCTTGATGCAACACTGGAGTTAATAAAACTCAAAACAACAATCTATTTTTGCCTATCCACCATACAGTTTAAGTAAAGTGCTTTACAGATTGATTCCAAATTTTTGAATGAAAGAAATATTTGTACATGCTGGCAAATATTTCATACAAAAATATTTTATTTGAAACTTGACTTCTTTAAACGTATGCATTCAGTTAGACAATCAGATTTTGAGCTTAAAGTGATGGCCTGCTGCCATTTGTTTATCGGCTGTATAATTTAATTCAATAAAATTATTTAAATATGTGACAGTTTAAACTTTTTTGTTCACAGGAATAAATTTCTATTTTACTTTTGTTCATGAAAGCTCAAAATTAATTTAAAATGGCTTACTTGATTTTTCATTCCCCCAAATTTTTCTGAATATGACAACAATAAATAATTTTGTCTGGATGCTTTGAATATATGCAATTATTATATGAAAAGAAGTGTTTGAAACAAGACTAAATGCTGGACAAAGGACAAGGTTAATTTCATTACCAATTAAACATACATGTGAACTCTCCCACTTTAAGTGGGAGACTCCCTCTTTCTGCAGGCATATTTTCAAAGATTTTTCTTAAAATAAGGGGTATTTTCACAAATTAAAGAAATCTCCCTCTTTTTGATGTCAGAACTTCCTTCTTTGTTCATTGCAAATTCTAAAATCTCCCTCTTTTTGAAGAAAAATCTCCCTCTTGATCATGGAAAAAAGTTCACATGTATGATTAAAATGGGTCAGAACATTCAGCACATTTTAAACTGATGACAGTTTATAGTCTGTATATCCGACTTTAATTGAGTAAAATGGTGACTACAAATTCTTGCCTCACTAAATATGAACTGAATGAATTTCATTGCATCATGGCCGAAAATACAAAGTTTGTTCGCCAAAAAAAAAACAACCATGCTCTGAAAGAAACACTGATTACTCTTAAGTTTACATATATATCAACATCTATCGATCTTATGCTTGACAGACAATTGACAGTTTTGTCTGTTTCTAAAATTTTCGTATTTCCCTTATTGTAGCCTACTAGGATCTCAAGATGTTCTCAAATTTTACCAATTTTCTTATTAAAATTTCAAGGAAAACATTCATGAACACTGAGTTTCTATACAAGACGACAAGTTGAAGTGGGGCATTTATATTTGAATTTTTACAGTATTCAGTGCAGTTTTTCAGCTGAATGCGTTAATCCTGAATTTATTTCTCTACATTTTACAGTTAGCTAAAGATTTACTTCATCCTAGTGCAGAGGAAGAGAAGAGGAAATGCAAGTTGAAGAGATTGGTCCAGAGCCCAAACAGCTACTTCATGGACGTTAAGTGTCCAGGTGAGGAAAGTCTAGACATAACTAGCGGTGTCAGGGTTAGAAAAAGTGCTAACCATTTAAATGGCGACCTAATTATAGCTTTGACCATACTCTAATAAAATCCTTACATTTTTGAAATTAACTTTGTTTCCTTATGACAAGATATGATATTTTGTTTGTATTTTGTTGTACTTAAATTGATTACGATACATATCGGAATATGGAGTAACTATTTTCGTTAGGGTTGCACCAATGTACCGTATTCAATCAGATCAGGGGAAAAAATACATTGTTGAGTACAACTTAAATACAGACAAATTGTCATATCTTGTTGTAAAAAAAGGCAATATTTAGAATCAGTTAAAAACTTTTTGCCTCTGTTAGATACTAACCTAGTTATTAGTTATTGAATTTTCTAACTGGTTTTAAGCTGAAAATAGTTAAAACTGACTGTATCCGTTTAAACAGATAAAAAACGGGACACCCCTACATGTAACAATTCTAACTGTAATCTAGATATTAAAATAAAATTTAAGTTTCCAAAAGTTATGACTTACATTCTGTAGCATTCATCAATATTGCAGAGATCACAAATTGAACATGTCCACTCAATTAAAGACAACTAAAGTTTAGCTGCATACATATTCTTAAAAATCAGAAATGAAATGCAGGAACAGTAACTCTATAGTTCTTACAGAGTAATGCTCATTTAATCACTGCCAAGCACTGAGAATGGTCGAGGGCACTTTATCCAGGCTCTTGTTTTACTAAGACTGCTTGTTACACACAAATTTATACTATCACTGTGGGCATTCTTGAAACAGCATGTGTCTTTGATCGCAATTGTAGGTCACTATTTGAGAAGCATTTTGTTCAGGTTTACTCCCCTACATTCCAGGGTCTTTTATATGAAGCATTGAATAATAGGAAGAGCTGTCTTTCATTGTATGGTGTTTTATTTAAGATAACCAAAGTATAAATAAATAATAATAGTTAATACAGCGTCTATAAAGAGGGGGGATTTTTATCGAAAAGTGAGAATTTATTACATTTGTTGATCTTTTTCTTTCTTTCTCTATGTAAAATTTTTCCCTGCCTCTGAAAAAATGGGGGGTGGGGGAATTCTAAAAAATATCAGTGAATCCCACCATTCCCCTCCTAGAATAGACACTTCAAAAATATGAATAACCTAATCTATTCTATAAGGCAAAATAAAAATAAAATTTGAGAAAGAATTCATTGTTTACAATATCTCTGTTCATTTTTCAGGCTGTTACAAAATAACCACAGTTTTCAGTCATGCACAGACAGTGGTTTTGTGTGTCGGCTGTAGTACAGTCTTATGTCAGCCTACTGGAGGAAAGGCCAGGCTTACAGAAGGTAAAATCTCTTTTCTTACAAGTAAAATATGCAGTTAAGCTGTGTCTGCCAATGATTCAGATTGGGTTAGGCTTATTTTATAGCCGTTTTCAGTCATATTCCCAATTGAAAATAGCCATCCTAGACCACGATTCTTTGCATTCATGTAATCAATGCAAATTTTTTTGTTTTCCCAATTTTGATTCTTTGAACAAAACATGGCTAGAATTCCCAATTCCATGGGTATGGGTCATGCTCCCAAAATCCTGGAAAAAAATCCTGGTTAGCCCTACGATCTAGAGTCATTGAAGTTTCTGGAGAAATACATGCAGTATGCCCATCGGCCGAGATTATTACTATTCCTTAGACAATAATACTGACTAATATGACCTATACTGTGTCCATGTGACGTAAAACCCAAACAAACAAAGACTAATTTTCATAGTAAAATGTCAACATTTCATCAAATCATTTAATCCCCGGACGATTACAGATGCATTGCTTAGTAGCTGAAAACTTGAAAGCTCTAAGAATAGTTGTCATTACCTTAAACTGCAAATAAAGTTAATATACAACTATAAATGGCAAATGACCTAAGCAATTAATATTGAGACTGATGAAAAAATACCACGACTTTCTGTCCATGAAACAAATGTAATTATTAGAAAATGTCCTGCTTAATGTATTATATATTTATATATATTGTTTATAGCTTAAATGGAAAATGAAGATAACGCATGTTAAATCAAGATGAACATTTTTTGCTCGGATGTAAATGAAGTTAACTTTGGTAATAAACCACGATATCGAAAGGAGGGAGTTTTCTTTTGAAAATACCCCTTATTTTATGTAAAAACTTTGAAAATATGGCAGCAGACTGCTAAAAGCAGTGTCTATTTTAGGAGGAGCGATGGGGGGATTCACCCAATATTTTTTAGAATTCCCCCCTATTTTTTCAGAGAAGGGGAAATTTTTACGTAGAGAAAGACAAATGTTATAAATTCTCACTTTTCGATAAAAATCCCCCCTGGTTTTCGAATCCTAGAATAAACACTGTAAAAGTGGAAGAGTTCACATGTATGAATATTATTAATAAAAAAACATACATATCTACCTAGACAGGAAAAGTAGCTGGTAGTACAATGGCAAACAAATGTTGTTTGGTTTTTTTTGATTGCCTAAAAATATTTCTATTATTTGTGATTTACAGGCTGTTCATTCAGACGAAAGCAACACTAAACAGACAATGAAGAAAGAAAAAAAAAGCGTGTAGAGGATTGATTACAATGGTTATATTGTGATAGACTGTGCTACAGTTTTCATTGTGTTAGACTGGTTCTCTTTTTGTCATCCTGATAGACTGTGTTACAGATTTCATTGTGACAGACTGGTTTCAGTCAAAAATATTTTTCTTTTCTTAATATCATTATTTAAAATACCATTAAATCAGTCATCTACATGATAACCTGTGTTTGTGTTGATATATTGTGAAGGGCTTTATTGGTAAGGTTGCTGATAACCAAATCACTAGTCGATATGTTTTGATGTGCGAAAACTAGATTCTGAGATATTTTGTACTGGGTTAGATTCTGGCTTCAAGAGGGGAGATAACTTCAATACACAAAATAGCACTGCAATACAAATGGACTACAACAAATTACTCATTTTTCATGGTTTAAGTTTAAATTATTCCTTCATTTAAGGAAGCTGTTCAGTTAGCTTACATAAGTTTGGTAGTTATACTGGTTCTGCATGCTGGTGCACAGGTTCTTAAAACAAACTTTTTTATGTTCTATATGGACTATATACTATAATCTTTTAAAAAAACATATATAGGCTGTTTATGTAAAATACTTGATTATGTGACTAGTGCATGTGTGCTGGTGCTTAAAATAATTTACAGGGAGATCTCTGCTTGGCTGTAATTTAGTCATGTGACTAATTAGTGCAACTATCTCTTCAAAAAAAGATTAAATTGAATGTGCTAAAAGTTTACTGTCAAAAGATGCTGTGAAATGAAACCTTAGGTGACTGGACATACAGGGTTATACAACAATATTAGTGCGACTGATTTGCTTACCAGACCCAGTGTTAAAAGCACCAGTTGGTTTTTTCCAGGTTTACTTTTCAATTGTTCCAATTGTGTATGAAGCTAATAAACACTTGAATCTATTCAACAAACAAACTATTCCTAGATCCAACCAGTACTGATGCAACAAATGTAAAGCTTTTTTTTTGCAAGGAAACGATGGTTTGCCACTGATAGTGTTTGAACCAATGCAGCTGGAGCTTGATAAATTACTACTATAAACTAGACTGATATGTTAACCACTTGACCATCCAATTGCAAATGGCACTGGTTCGGAAGTTGGCAATAAATTGGTTTTAAATTGATTATGATTATCGGACATATTTTCAATCGTAATTTTACAAAAATAGACTTTATTTTCGTTTGGATGTCAGATCCACAGATAATACTGTCCTAGGATGATAACTTGAGCCTTTGTTTACATAACAAAGACCAATAACAATGCGAAAAATAGGTTAGGCAGATCAATGCCACATCCTATAAAAATGAAAATAAAAGTACATGTCATCATATGTCTTGTTAGCGCAATAGGTAGAGCAACCGTGTCAGTAATGTGTTTTACCCGTACAGGCAGAAGTTCGACTACTGGTACGACACATTTTTTTTTACCTCAGAACAGCTAATTGTTCAGAAAACAAGTTTGACCGGATTTTTCATATACATACATGAATATGATATCGAATATTTTAGTACACTGCGATCAAAAAATACAAAAAGAAAATAGAATGGAAATAAAAAAATATATACTATAAAATATATATTATAAGAAGAAAACAAAAAGGAAATCGAAAAATAAATAAAGAATAATGATAAAAAAACAGAGTAAGAAGAAAAATTGTGGTTATAAAATGACACTAAGTGGGGTTCGAACCTATGGGTACAAAACACTAATAGTTACAATTACTCCGACCTACCGAGAGAGCCATAACGGTAATACACAAACGATTCTGTAAGAATAATGCTATATAGTATATGTAAGTGTTTACTTTTACGATATCGGATAATAATCCAGATAACCCCGTTTTTCGACTTTCCCATGTACCGTTAAGACCAAATTATCATCTTAGGACAGTACACTCGCACATTTATAATTGTCCAACAACATTGACCTGGCACTTTTGCATTTGACCCTGTTGTCTGTATATTCCTTAAGTGTCAGGTCATTATTGTTCGACATTATCAAAGATTACACTGTCTGTTTTTGTTAACATCTAATACAAAGTTGTAGAAGTATTTCAGTCGGAGGTTATTATGAATAATGATTGTCTCCATAGGAGTATGGAGTGATTAATGAAAACACAAATACTACAGATTTTATCTATATTTTTATTCATTTTTTCATAAGCTTAAAAGTTACATAACAATTTTAACTAAATATGTTAATGAAGCAAAATAAATGAAGTAAATAAGTATAACCTTGTTATAAAAATGCTCAAATGAGTTATATTTCTGCTGACCTTGGGGTGATAAAATTATCAATTACCGGGGTATGTTGATTTACAGGTGCTCTGCAGAGCAAAATTTTTGCTTACTGGCAAGAAGTGTTCTTATATTTATTGCAAAGTCTTCCTTTATAAAGATTTGCAACTAATGCTATAATGAGAGCCTCTTACAAAGGTTGCCCTTTGGTTTATTAATTAAGTATTTTATGTTACTTATTAAAAAAAAGTATTTTATGATACGGCTATCAATTATATGAGCCGCGTCACAACAAAACCAACATAGTGATCAGGATCCATGCTGTATGCTGTCAGTTTCTCTACTTGTAATAGAGTTGGTAAGCGAACAGCATGGATCCTGATCAGACGGTGCGGATGCGCAGGCTGGTCTGGATCCATGCTGGTCGCAAACGCACTATGTTGGTTTTGTCGTGACGCAGCTCATATGAAATTTTGATGGGTGAGATGATAACCATCATAAACACTGATACAATCAAGACTAAAACATTTTGCTGATTTTTATGATGGGCGTAGTTGGTTTGTAATGAGAGAAAAAGAAGAATACATTTGTAAACCGCGAACTGCAAGCATTAGTTTGATGAATACATTTGATATAATGAGTACTAATAAAGCCACTAGTGAGTATTAACAGATAAAAAAATTTATGGTAACAGTTTGCGTAAGCAGAACTTCGTATTTATTTGCGCTTCACTAAACTTTCTTAGCCACGCATTTGCATAAGTTTAAACGTAAAGTTACGCTCATTTATGACTGGCGTAAATTGCACATTCTATTTAGTGAAATGCAACCAACGTAAATTTACGTGTTGCGCAAGTCTAAATTTACATAAAAAGACACGCAAAACTGATGGAATGTTAGTGAAATGCTCGCCAGTTATTTGAACTAAGGTGAAGAGAGAGGGAGAGAGAGGGAAAATAAAATCACAGAAATCTATACAAAACCCTGATTAAATCTCACAACCTTTGCTTACATCACAGTATTTCTTTGAATATCCTGCAAACACATAACATTGCTCAGAAAGAATAAGTTCCCTATGCAAATAAATAGTAATGCTATTGTTACTGGCATGTGCTGTCATTTAATAACAAGATAATTTTTTTTTTATAAGGTCAAGAAGCTTAGTAATGCTTACTGGCATGTGCTGTCAAATAACAAGATATTTGTTATAAGGTCAGGGAAGTTTAGTAATGCTTACTGGCATGTGCTGTCAAATAACAAGATATTTTTTATAAGGTCAGGGAAGTTTAGTAATGCTTACTGGCATGTGCTGTCAAATAACAAGATATTTTTTATAAGGTCAGGGAAGTTTAGTAATGCTTACTGGCATGTGCTGTCAAATAACAAGATATTTTTTTATAAGGTCAGGGAAGTTTAGTAATGCTTACTGGCATGTGCTGTCAAATAACAAGATATTTATTTATTCAGTAGGTCACAGTAGCTATTTTATTCAGGACTGAAAAGTATTGTGGCTGATTTGGTACATTTAAGTGTGTCTACTTGGCGCTAGCGACAACATGGCAAAGTGCCATACGCCAGCGACAGGATGACAAGACAAAAGGCGTACCAAATCAGCCACCATAGAAAAGTGCTGATTATTGTGTACTGAATATGGAAACAAAAGTTGAAGAAAAAAATCTCTTGAATATCTAATAGTCAAACAATATACAATAATTTCACTGGAATACTTGAAAATAATATCAATGATTTAACAGAAGCATATCGCATATATATTAGGATGATATATTAAAGGAACTCTACTGATGTCAAAAAGTGTAAAAACATAAAAATTGAATTTCTTACATAGATCAGCTGGGCACTTAAAGTAGGAAGGATATACAAAAGATAATTAAGAAATAGACATAGTACTGAAAATGAATTAACATTCATATTTTTGTGCTGTTTTAAGCCTGGCTTGAGGGAATTTTTGGGTCATTTTTCACAATTAGAATAATTAGTCTGAAAAAATGGAGTGAGCAAATAATCTTAAAATCTTGCACACAAGCTATAATTAATTGGTATATCAAGACCCATGAGAGGGAATATTAATAAAAAAATATATTTAGTCTCATAATGCCAAAAAACCTCAGTGGAGTCCTTTAAATAATTTGCAAGGCAGGTAATTTAAAATGGAAGAAGAACAATTCAACACTTTTTGTTATCATATGTTATGGCACTTCATATTTGTAGACAGAATATAGGGTCAATGCTTCTTTTTTGTCTATTTACAACATCTGCAGAAGCATAAAGACACATTTAAAGCCTGATTCCACAGGACAAAAGATTATATAAATCCTGAGGGATTCATCAGTTTTTAATGCAGGAATGCAGTTTTTTTATTATTTTTCTTACTAAATCATTATGTTAATATTCCAAAAATTTATTCCTTTCATACAATATTTTTAAATCATAAAGTATGACCGTACAAGAACAAGCTGTATTATAAATACATGAACTATTTAACTGTAGCTTTAAACTTATTTCAGATAATGCAAGATTGTGTTAAAGGCACACCAAGCCTCGGAAAAAAAATTAAAATTTTCCCTTCTTTTGAAAGAGCAAAAACGAGTCCACCAGTAATGTTTAGATATCGGTTTTAGTGTATAACATAATTATGTTAATTACCAGTAGAAAATAGGGTTGAATGTGAAATAATTTTAATTTGTCATAAAAGAAGCACAAAGTAGACAAAGTCGTATTTTGACTTCAATACAAAATACTAAATCATTGTAACTTTTAATTATTGCTAGAAAAGCAAAAGAAGTAATTAAGTGCTGATTCAGGTAAATGACCAATGAGTAACTTTTTTTCATACTATAACGGGACACAAAGAATATAACGCTTTCGAAAAATAAAAGCATTTCTGGGGCTAAACTGACCCTTAAACATTTGTAAATACATGCATGTTTTTATGTTCTGTTTATTTGCAAATAGACAATATAAGTCTCAATCTAAGTTATGTTCTGTTCCGTAACTTAGCTGAACAGCCTTCTCAAAAGACACAAATCTAATATTCCTAACATTGTTTAAATATACATTGGAGAATAGTACGTGATTTAAAATCAGAGATAATAGATCTACTAGATATGTTACATTTAAACTGTGACAAAAAAATAGTATTTTAATTTCCATTTAAACTGGAAAAAATAAATGCTGACTATCACTATTGAACACAAAATAATATTTTGACTGATCAAATTTCAAAATGTGTCTAAAAATAAATATTCATTATATTTCTCACCCTATATACATGTATAATGTCTTTAGCTTATATGTACATTGCAGCTTATATACACATACATGTACTTGCACCAGATGAGCAGCAAAAATATAAATAACAGTAACATGCAATAACTTGTACAATTACTTTAACAAAATCTTTATAACTAAACTAAACAACACACTTTGAACATTAAAACTACAATGCTAAAACACACAAAAAAAACATTATTACAATTTACACACATTCACCCACATACACACACATTCACCCACATTCACCAACATGCTCACTTAAAGACATTTTCAAAAAGGCACATGAACTTGCAAGATCAATTAACTCTTAACCTACTGGTGGCTGCAGTATCTACCTATGCAACCTCAGATAACGTGGTCTGCCCTGTTTGCTATTAAGTCAGCACTTTGGTCTGCTGTGTTCACTATTTAATGAGCACTTATTATTTTGAATGTCCCCTAATAAATGATAATTTTATCATTTTCAATTGCATAACTCTTGATATCATCAAAGTCAAGACATGATTACCAAACACTTGATATCAATTGCCAAACACTAAAGCCAGACACTCAATATTTATGGCAAGACACTCAATTATTATTCCCAGACAGTGTAGTTGTTTAACCAAATATATGAATATTTATAGTGCCTGTATAATTGTCAATATGGTTAAAATAGTAACTAAAACAATGTCTTAATGACAAAATTTCTTAATGACCAAACTTAATGATATATGAATTTGAATCAGTCTGATGAAATGAGCTTCAACCATTGGTTAATTTAAAATATCTTCTCAAAATTAACCAATAAAATATCTTGTTTTTTCTTAACTTTAGACTGGTTGATCCATGTGACCTTTTGGGTCCCATATACACAAGCAGATATGCAAACACTAAAAAAATTAGACTGGTTTCACTAATGTGGAGTTTAACTACACTAGCAGGCACATTTGGACTGGTTCTGTTCACTTGGAGGCGGTCCTTTATGTCTAGAGGGCGGTTCTATATGAATCCTTTCATCATTTTTCTCTGGAGAATTTTCGGGACTGTGAGACTGTAGTCCCGACCCTGGCGAAGTTTCATATAATTTGATCAGTCTTTTAGCTACCTCTAAAAATGCTTCCTCAATTCCTGAAATTTATATAATAATTATATAAATTAACATAATGATATACATGATGGAAATATACTGACATGTATAAATCGTTTTGTTCATATATCTTATGTATTGTGTCTTTATAATTATCATATGTACAGTACGTCCTATAACTGTTGTTATATATATACTTAACTATATATACATAATATATATAACACTTCTAAAATGTTAATTAAACGTATAATAATGGGCCGATCACAACTAAATTGTTTCTTTTTCTTTGTTGGGTTTGAAGTCTCACCAACATAATACAGGTCATATGGTGAAGGAAGACCTCAGGTGCCCCCATGTACATTATTTCAGGAAGAAGCAAGAACCACTGACATTTTGTATGCTAGCTCACAAAACAAGGTGAGCAGTGGCCTAGTGGTTAAGGTGTCTCTCAGTGATTATGGGTTTGAGTCCTAATCAAGTTACAACCATGTTTCCTCATAAGACACCAGTACTGGCTGGTTCCAGGAAGCGTACTTAGAAGTGATTAATATCAGTTGCCAGAACTTGTTTGCTTAAATAAATTTATATGTTCAAACTAAATGGAGCACAAATACCTGTATTTTTCAAGGCAGATGTTTCGTAGAATAGAGAATCTATAGAATCAGCATAATCTTTGGCATCTTCCTCCTTCACCTGTCTACCATCCTGTAGATCACACTTGTTACCAACCAGACAAGTTACTGTAATGTAGATCATAATTATGTTACCAACCAGAAGTTTTAAAGTAACGTAGATCATAATTATGTTACCAACCAGACATTTTACTGTAACATAGATCATAATTATGTTACCAACCAGACATTTTACTGTAACACAGATCATAATTATGTTACCAACCAGACATGTTACTGTAACATAGATCATAATTATGTTACCAACCAGACACGTTACTGTAACATAAATCATAATTATGTTACCAACCAGACATGTTACTGTAATGTAGATCATAATTATGTTACCAACCAGACATTTTACTGTAACTTAGATCATAATTATGTTACCAACCAGACACATTACTGTAACACAGATCATAATTATGTTACCAACCAGACATTTTACTGTAACACAGATCATAATTATGTTACCAACCAGACATGTTACTGTAACACAGATCATAATTATGTTACCAACCAGACATGTAACTTGTAACGTAAATCATAATTATGTTACCAACCAGACATGCTACTGTAACATAGATCATAATTATGTTACCAACCAGACACGTTACTGTAACGTAAATCATAATTATGTTACCAACCAGACATGTTACTGTAATGTAGATCATAATTATGTTACCAACCAGACATTTTACTGTAACTTAGATCATAATTATGTTACCAACCAGACACGTTACTGTAACACAGATCATAATTATGTTACCAACCAGACATTTTACTGTAACACAGATCATAATTATGTCACCAACCAGACATGTTACTGTAACATAGATCATAATTATGTCACCAACCAGACATGTTACTGTAACGTAAATCATAATTATGTTACCAACCAGACATGTTACTGTAACATAGAGCATAATTATGTTACCAACTAGACATGCAACTGTAACATAGATCATAATTATGTTACCAACCAGACATGTTACTGTAACATAGAGCATAATTATGTTACCAACTAGACATGCAACTGTAACATAGATCATAATTATGTTACCAACCAGACATGTTACTGTAACGTAAATCATAATTATGTTACCAACCAGACATGTAACTGTAACATAGAGCATAATTATGTTACCAACCAGACATGTTACTGTAACGTAGATTATAATTATGTTACCAACCAGACACGTTACTGTAACGTTAGTCATAATTATGTTACCAATCAGACACATTACTGTAACATAGATTGTAATTATGTTACCAACCAGACATGTTACTATATCATAGATCACACTTATGTTTCCAACATGTTACTGTTACTGACATCTGGCATTCACTCTATGAAATATATCCTGATCTTAAATGCAAAACAAACAAATACCTATAATAATATTTTGCTCTGTAACTTTTTATTTATATTTTTACTTATTGAACATAATTTCTAATTTAAACTTACTTATAGGTGTGTCAACATTCCTTTTAAGTTCTGAAAAAAAAGAATTGATTTTACAAATAAAATATATCATAATGAAATATTGTAGTTCAGAATAAACAAATTTCACTTAATCTTGACAACTCTAAATATCTTAAATGGATTTGTCCATGTTTTAACTGGGACAAAACAATGCATTGTTAGAGACAATAGCTGTTGTTTACCTGTGCTGTAATGGCTCAGTATTGGTTTAAATTCCAGGAATGGATTCTAGAATGTGTCTATAATTTATAATTTTCAACATAAACAATCATACTAAAATAAATTCTAATAAATTTCTGTAAACTAAGTTTGCAAAAGTGGAAGGTAAACAATGATTTCCCAAAGAATGTGTTTATACAATGAATATTAGTAGATATATTTATACTCAAGAAAGTCAATTTTTAATTTACTTTTTTTCTGATATGGAAATACACCTGAAGCACATGGTCCCCTGCCTCAATTTATCTTAACTACTTACCACTGACCCAGTCTTTAATATCATAAAATGTATCTGAAGATGTAATATCATATATCAACATGGCAGCATTTGCTTTTCTGTAGTACATTGGGGCCTGAAAATAATCATCATAATATACATGTAGATTTAGATACACACAGTCCAATGCTAATATAGAACGAGACAGTCCAATATAGACCTAGATATACTGTACACAGTCCAATATAGATTTAATTACACAGTGCAATCTAAATTAATACAGTTTAATATAGACAATTAAATATACCTCTAGATATGGACAGCCCAATATAGATATATATACAGACAGACCAATATAGATTTTGATTCTGGTAGTCCAATAATGATGAAGAAAAAGACAGACAAAACTAGATCTAGATAGCTCAATACAGATAATCCAATATAGATCTAAATAGAGACAGTCTTATGCTCTAGATATACACAGTGCAATACAGATTTTGATACAGGTAGTCCAATATTGATCTAGATATGGAAAGTTCAATATAAATCTTTCTATTGATAGTCCAATACAGACAGTCCAATAAAAATCAAGATACAGACAGTCCAAGACAGATCTAGATAAAAATAGACAAATATAGATTTTAGATTGATTATAAGTCCTGTAAACTTCTAAGTTCACAGTCCAACAGTCCAATACAGATCTAGATACAGACAGTCCAATAAAAATATTTGTTGGATTTTAAGTCCCACTGACACTTCAGTCAAAGTCATATTTTGACTTTCAAGCTACCTGTGTATTGGCCATGGAAGAACTCATTAGCCCCTTTGTATTTTTTTTTCCAGGCACAATTATCTGTCACAAAAGAAGAACTTTCCCCAAAAAATGGAGTTGAAATGTATAGAAAAACTAGTGATTAAAATATTACAAGGTTATTTTTTTATACGTACCATTGAGCGAAACCTTTCTTGGCCAGCCGTGTCCCATACTTGAAGTTTAACTCTATAATTGTCTACATTTCTGAAACAATTTTTAAATTGACAAATTTAATTTATGTCCTTTTCATATTCAATATGAATTAAAGATTTTGTCATAAAATGAAATTTAATCCTGACATTATGTAAATTGTGGTTTTAATAAATAAATACAATTTAATTTGTTTCCTTAAAAAATTATTATTCATTTCAAAAGCAAAGGAAAGAAAAATATTCCCAAAACACATATATGAGAAATTTATTATTAATGTACATTAATGAAAACTGAGAATAAAGAAATCATGTATCAGAAGTAGAGCTGTCATTGATTCAATTCAAAGCATATTGAGGATATGTCAATATCGGATCCCGATGACAAATATGAGCGATACACCAATATATTGATAATTTCTTGAATATAATTAACTTTCATACCAGTTTGAATGATCTTAATAAAATACATGTTCCATTCCTATCAATGTTCTGTCCTGTTTATAAATGTCCTTTGCATGATTTTTTTCTTATCATTTTTTGTTATTACTGCTAACAAATGTGTCTAATATGTAGCAACGACTTAGTGTTAGACATGGCCACCTGCTTTTGAATATGTTTTAAGTGAATTTTCATAATTTATAGACATTTAAATAATTAATCCAAATTATTGATTTTTTCAAAAGTGTATGGATTATTGATTGACAGAAAAATAACAAGGCAAGGCTACATCGATATTGTCTCTATCAATGACAGCTTAGGTACATGTATATCTGACTCTGTATAGACCTCATAAGTACTTACAGTTTATAGGTAAAGAATGAGGCCCCAATTGTTGGACTCACAGCTTTACTGAACATTCCACCAACATACCTGATTACAACACTTGTTTTACCAACACCTGAATAACAATATCAAGGAATTAAAATATATAGATCTATTCTTTTTGTAAGATTATGAAAAATTATAAAATAGTTTAAGTTAACCAATAACATCATCGGTTTGTGTTTTAGATTCAGCACAATCTTTGAAATCGGAACAGTCCAATAAATGTATGACATCATAACTACCAGTATCACCATGTATGACATCATAACTACCAGTATCACCATGTATGACATCATTACTTCCAGTATCACCATGTATGACATCATAACAACCAGTATCACCATGTATGACATCATTACTTCCAGTATCACCATGAATGACATCATAACTACCAGTATCACCATGTATGACATCATTACTACCAGTATCACCATGTATGACATCATAACTACCAGTATCACCATGTATGACATCATAACTATCAGCATCACCATAAATGACATCATAACTACCAGTATCACCAGATATGCCATCATAACCACCAGTATCACCATGTATGACATCATAACCACTAGTATCACCATGTATGACATCATAACTACCAGTATCTTTTTTATGTTAACAAGAGAAATCTTATCTTCTTCTTCTTCCAATATATGGCCACCTTGAACTAACTAAAAGTTTCCTGGCAGGTTAATGTGCAAGAGGGAAAGAAAGAGTAAAATAGGAATATATACAGTGCAGGTTAAAAACGGACACGATTAAAGCTATAATTTCTGAGTAGGCAACATATAACTAATATTAGGGAGAACTTTTAGAATCTGGCCACAGCAAAATTCATTTGTTATAAACCTAACCCTTTAATCCTAACCAATAACACTAACCCTAATTCTTAACCTACATGTAGAATTAATCTGAGTGATGTTTAGAGAAACATAAATTGATGAATATTGTAGAAATAGTTGTGTGTTAAAAATAGCTGCGGACATATTCTAAAGTCTATCCAATATTAGTAATTAACAGCTGATCGTTACGTCATCAACACATAAAAACAGTTATTAAAATTAGTTTCTAATAATAAAATCTTATTCTTAGTAAAAAAAGAAGAAAAATACCTTGAGATCCGAGTACAACAACTTTCGCTTCTAATGATTTCATGATAGCCTATTATTCTATTCTTTGTTTAGTTGTGAATACATGAATTTTTGTGCGCAATTCAAAGATATTTACAAAGTTTATGATTTGGAGCGTAACACGGAAGTTAGTTTATCCACCATTTTGTTATCACGTGACACTTCGAAACTATTGGTAGATCTACTTTCAATGAACAAATGAGGTGACTCATTATCAGTTTAAAATAGAGGGACAAAATGATTCGAAATATATCATAATGTTTTCATCGTACATTTTACATTTTGATAACTATGTAAATATGCAAAACCCTTATTACTCGTTACCGCCACTTTAAGGCCCTTTCCGTCACATTCCGAGTATTTGGGTAAATATAGCTCAAAACACGTTCATCTACATACTCAACTAACCCTTTACTGAAGAATTAAATAATGTTATTTCTAACTTAGATCTACATTATCTTTTTACTAGCTTTTATCGCATATTTTAGTGTCTTAATCTCCAGATTTTCGAATTTTTGTTTCAAGCCCAGGCATTTTGTACATTTTTTTAATATTTACAAAGCTATAAATATTAAATAATTCATATTCATACGTATCGTAAAATACCCTCTTTAATATTAAAAAGGAGATTAATTGTTTTCATAGGCTGTATAAACTAAACAGTATATAGAGAAATTAGTCACAAATTTCAGTATATATATTTATGATGAGAAGACCACACATGCAAATAAATTTATCATCATATATAGTTTAAAAGTTCTGATGTAAAATGGTCAAGTTTGAGGTTTGTGGCAGGACGATTCACTACCGATGCTCACACTAAAGGTTATACAAAGTGCACTTGGATTGCTTGACACTTTCCTCTTCTATGAAAGTACACGTATTCCCTTTAAATACATTATATTCTTATAATAATGAAATCGTGAATAGAATTATATTTCGTGGAAAATATTTAAATTTTCATATTTATATCTTTAAAAATATGCAAGCATTTCACAGTTGAACACTAAATTATCACAGTATATGGATTGTTTTAGAATCAATGTATTTATTCTCTTTCAATATTGAACATGTGGATTTGCCCTTTATAGTTATATCTGGATTAAATTCCATGGACTATTTAGATTTCTCACTTATCTTCCGACATATATTATAATAACAGTAGCAAAATCTGAAATATTACTTTCATTTTCTATTTCTAACAGAAAACAATAACAGGGTATTGGAAATAAGTTTAATTATGCTCCAGTAGCTAGAGGTGATATTAATCTCTTGAAAGTCGTTTTGGGCGTTCTTTTAGGAATTCCGTTTTTTCTATTTTACACTTATTTTTTTTATTCGTTAAAGAAATTAAACGTATATTGCAATCTCCACCATACTTAAGTTAAGGAAAGTTTTATAAAATATAATCGCCGTTTACTTTTTAAACAATACCAAGAAACCAACCGCATTACACAACTTTGCGTTGTTTAACACCACATTACGCCATTTTTAGCTCACTAAATATGGCTGACGAAATAGCGAAAGCCCAAGTGGCTGAACCGACTGAAGACACTATATTTGGAAAAATAGCTAGAGGCGACATACCTTGTAAATTTATTTACGAAGATGAAAAGGTAAAAATTGATGTTACTCATAAACAATCAAATGACATTCCTCTCATTTCTTAGGAAATGGAGTAACAGAAATTAATTGTACGGTTCGTCCTCGAGCAGTGTCGTACTTGCCAAATAAATTTCATTAATTCTACTTTCTGAAAGAATAAATTAATTTAATAAAATTTAATACTTGACTTGATTCTTTTATTTCCAACTGGATTTGGTATCACAAAAAGATAAAGTGAAATAAATTAAAATGTTATGCCCTACTGATGACTAAGTAACATAGGCTCATAGCTTTAGTTTTTCCTGTCAGTCTTTTCAAGTGTTCAGATATAAAACTCAATGCCGTTGTCACATAATTATTTGGCAATCTCCTGGATTAGATGCCTGGATTTTTTTTCAGGAATAAAACTTTTATAATTATGATATTTTCTTCAGTTATATGAATTGATATTTTCAGTATGTAGCCTTCATTTATACAATGTATTGATATTTATTTTCAGTGTGTAGCCTTCAATGATATGAGCCCTCAGGCTCCAACACATTTCCTTGTCATCCCGAGAAAACCTATACAGATGTTAGAGAAGGCCGATGATGCAGAAGAGCAGGTATGTGCCATATGTAAATTTACGCACTGCGCCGGGTGTGCGTTACCATAGTTTTTAAATTCGCTGTTACGGACAAGCTTTGTGAGTTATCAGATTAGATAAAGCATCAGTTTATAGGTATTGTTTTCCGATTAAGTGTGATATACATGTATATCAATAAGTGATATGTTGAAAATTCTTCAAATGACAGTCACATTCCGGTTTATTTTTGATCATCCCTTGTATATGAAAATTATAATTAAATGAAGTTCAATTTAAATTTATTTTGGAAGCTTTGACCTATGTGAGATAAAAGTTAACTAGGCTATTGATACATTTTATAAATCGGCCCTGACCAAGAATATTTAGCCGAGTGCCACACATGTTTTCACATTTTTGTTTTTCGTGTAACTTCATTATGAAGGAGGAGATGCACTGTCATATTCTGCCCTTGATAAGGGATAAGTCACTTTTATGTCATTGGGTAAGATGTTTCATAAGTATCAATTTTAAGCTTTTTTATCAAGGACAGAACAAATTTTATAGTAAATTATTTCATTTTTTACTTAATTTCTTTAAAGAAAAAATACACAAATTTGTATTACCTTTTCAGTTGCTGGGACATTTGTTGTTGGTTGCCAGGAGGGTTGCTAAGGAACAAGGTCTGACCAATGGCTACAGACTGACCATAAATAATGGAAAAGACGGCGGCCAATCAGTTTATCATTTACATATCCATGTGATGGGTGGTAGGCAGATGATGTGGCCTCCAGGATAACTTGATAACAGAAAGGTCAACACTGTGTGCAAAGGTCAATGAGTGTCCTTCAACTTTGACCTTTGATATATTTTAATTTCATAGTAGTTAACTTATCCTCCCAGCATAAACATTCTTCACTTATCATCATTATATATAGTTACAAGTATACTCGGTAAACCATGGGTACTCATTACGTTTACACTTCATTCGTAATGAATGTAGTTCAGCGAAATCAGAATCTGTGGGTTCTGACAATGATTTACTAGTAAGTTTAACTTGTTTAGTTACTAGTATATGTTAATAAGAATTTAATCTAATATTTATAAAAGTTTATAACCATGTTTAAGAATGTCTTGTGCAATGTTTTAAATTGTAAGACAATTAAGGTAATCATGGTCATGCTGGTAAAATTCAATAAATACAAGTCATAGAAACATACATGTTGTAATTTTATCTTTGATATCCTACAATCTTCATGAGAATGATTGACTTACAAGGAGTATATTATAACATGCAGATGTGTAAATGGCAGGTGGTCAAAAATTTAATGGCCTGATTTGTGAACACATCACTGCAGAAATCCTTCTGGAGACATAGAAAATACTCAGAAATTTAGAGGCTTGGGTAGAACCTTGATTACTAATCATTTTCTTGGTACAGTAATACCTTTGTATTTTGTTTTTTTGGGTCATTATGTTTTCGTAATGTCAACTGCCTGTACAGTCATGTAGTCTCAACTTTTAAGTTTTAAAAGTTTGCCGAAGCAGAAGGTGTAGGTGTATTAAAGAGACTCTAATGAGGATTTTTGAAATGACGGTACTGCAAATACTTCTCTGAGATTTGTTAAGCATTTATCAAAGGTCTGGGCCAAAAATTTGCATGCAAATTTTCAGATAATTTTCACATTTTTTTTGTGGAATAATAATTTCTATTGTGCAAAACAACCAAAAAAAAATGAAAAGTGTTACATGTTTCAATCAATTTGGGTAAGAATAACACTAAAATTGCTGTTCATTTTAATTGGTTCATTTGAATCTATGTAAGAATTTTAAATTTTATGTTCTTAGGCTTTTAACCTTAGTGAAGCTCCTTTAAATAAAAAGAGTCAGCTGACTTGAAGAATTTATATAGTTGTATACATTTATATGGAAATAACAATGCTTTCCTTTGGTTGGGTTCGATTTTTCATCACACCAACATAGTTGGGGTCATATGGCAATTTTCCAACTTTACAAGTGGAGGATGACCTCACATCATTTCAAGCACAAACAGTAGCTCAATTTTTATTTGATGGTAACTTTTTGGCATTTTGTACTTTAGTGTACTGAAAATAAGAAACAACACAAACCATTACTGAATTTCAGAATTTATTTTTTTGAAAAAAACATGAGCACAAAATTACACTGAAAAGAATGACAAAATATCTGATTCACACATTTATCCGATTGTCCGCTGTTTAAGTTGTGACCATGGAAACTCAAATCTGGATCCCTCCAAGAGCCCTTAGTCCAGGATTCCAGAAAAAAGCATTGTTGTGCTGAGTACATCTTCTTGTTATTGTTGAAATAAGGGCAATCATTTCATTGAAGGTTTGCTTAAAGTGACATTATGCTCATTTTTTCATTGTCAAGTTGAGCTGACCAAACGCTTATCTAAACTGAAAGTAACAGGTAAATTTTTATGGATATTTACAGGAATTTCATTAAGCCACCTAAGTTCTTTCATGGGAAGTAAATTACAAACTTGAAAGGAATTTATATGGCAAAATATAAATTTATTTCTATTTTCACCTGTTCATTCACCACAATACCCTTGGATGGACATAATGTCACTTTAAGAACTTTTCTCTAATAGCTAGAATAATGACAGGAGAGTTATTTCCCTTGTTACCTAAAGAATGGTCAAATCTGGACATAAAACTGTTTAGGAATTTAAATGATTCAGCATTATATAGTGAACAAACTAAAAAGTTTGTTTTGTGTCAATACAAGATAAAATGAGCCGCTTCACGACAAAACCAACATAATGCGTTTGCGACCAGCATATGGATCCAGACCAGCCTGCGCATCCGCACAGTCTGATCAGGATCCATGCTGATCACTATCAGTTTCTCTACTTCTTATAGGGTTTGTAAGCGAACAGCTAAATCCTGATCAGACTGCACGGATGCGCAGACTGGTCTGGATCCATGCTGGTCGCAAACGCATTATGTTTGTTTTGTCGTGACGCGACTCAAATAAATTTTCCACTTTATGGACAAACATCTAACAAAACATACATTCAACTCTTTACCAGTGAAAATATTCATCTTAATCTATATGATAACATACATTTATAACTTTCTTTTTAAATTTCACTTTTTTTCAAGACAATTAAACGACACCCAAACATTTTTTTTGCATAGCATCATATTCTGTTACAATATTCCATAAACAATCATAAATATACAACTGGGAATGTCTTCCATGTTTTTTTAATTTGATATACAGTATACATGTATATTGTAAACAAAAATAATCTCTGCCTTATACATTCAAACATGGATAAAACTCCTGTGTTATAACTATAACTATCAACACAGAAAAAAAAACAAGAGGGCCATGATGGCCCTGAGGTCGCTCACCTGTATATAGGCCCCCCAACCCCCCACCCCCCAACGTTGCAGAGCCAATTTAACCCAAGGGCTTTTATTTGCACAAACTTGGTAGACACCCATAAGAAGATGTTTCATGCTAAACATTTAAGCTCTAGCTCATTGGGCTTTTTAAAAGAAGATTTTTTTTAAGTTTTTACTATACACATATAGTTAAAAACAATGACACCCCTGGGGCCGGGCCAGTTTTGACCCCAGGGCTTTTATTTGAACAAACTTTGTAGACACTTACTAGAAGATGTTTCATGCTTAATATCTAAACTCTAGCTATTTGGGTTTTTTTCAAAGAAGATTTAAAGTTTTTGATAAACACATATAAAGAAAATCAATGACCCCCGGGGCGGGGCCAATTTTGACCCCTGGGCTTGTATTTGAACAAACTTGGTAGACACCTATTAGAACATGTTTGATGCTCAATATCTTAGCCATCAATGAAAATCAATGACCCCCCGGGGCGGGGCCAATTTTGACCCCAGGGCTTTTATTTGAACAAACTTGGTAGACACTCACTAGAAGATGTTTCTTGCCAAATATCTAAGCTCTAGCTCTTTGAGTTCTTTAAAAGAATATTTTTAAGTTTTTACTATATGCATATAGGGAAAATCAATGACCCCCGGGGCAGGGCCAATTTTCACCCCAGGGCTTTTATTTGAACAAACTTGGTAGACACCCATTAGAACATAATTCATGCTAACTATCTTAGCTCTAGCTCTTTGGGTTCTTTAAAAGAAGATTTTTTAAGTTTTTACTATATGCATATAGGGAAAATCAATGACCCCCCGGGGCGGGGCCAATTTTGACCCCAGGGCTTTTATTTGAACAAACTTGGTAGACACTCACTAGAAGATGTTTCATGCCAAATATCTAAGCTCTAGTTCTTATGGTTTTTTAAAAGAAGATATTTAAAGTTTTTTCTTTCGGTTGCCATGGCAACAAGAGTTCTGCATGGAATTAAATTCTTTGAACAATTTTTAAAGGTGACCACCAAAGGAACATTCCTGTGAAGTTTGGATGAAATTGGCTTAGTGGTTTATGAGGAGATGTCATTTAAAGTAAAAGTTTACGGACGGACGACGGACGGACGGACGACGGACGAAAAGTGATCACAAAAGCTCACCCTGTCACTTTGTGACAGGTGAGCTAAAAATAAACAAAAAAAATTTGATCCGCAACCTTATTGAGGTAAACTGATACAAATTGTCCCATACTTTATAAAGAAAAAAAAAAAAAAAAAATAAAAAAAAATAAAACAAATATTGTATAACCCATGTGTACAACCAATATCAGGTATATGTAAAATGAAATATAAAGTACAAATAAATATCTTAACTAAACAAAAAAGAAGTTCAAATGTATGTACCAAACCTTTACTTAATCTTCCAGGGATCAAAGATGTAAATAATGTGGAATTCCTATTAAACACCCCCGGGGGCTAAATATTTTCCAAAAGTGGGCTTTTATTTAAACACTGTTTTTTCTAAATCCAAAATTTATTGTAAATACATTTTCTGAGCCAGAGTCTGCAATTTTCATATAATCATGTTATGATTTATGCTTCTGAGGGATCACATTTCTCCAGAGTTTTAAACAAGAGTTTGAAAGTTTATATGAACATTTTTGTGTTTACTAAAACGTCCAAATTTGACAATAAATGAACTTAAAGGTGGCTGTACAATAAAGTTTGTTTATAATTTGTTTAAAGGTGTCAAATTTGACAATGAATGAACATAGATTAAAGGTGGCAGAAAATGGTTTTTGATCAAAAGTGGCTGTACAATATTAAAAGTTTGTTTATAATTTGTGTAAAGGTGTCAAATTTGATAATGAATGAACATAGATTAAAGGTGGCAGAATATGGCCTTTGTTTAAAGGTTGCTGTACAATAAAGTTTGTTTATAATTTGTTTAAAGGTGTCAAATTTGACAACGAATGAACTTAATTAAAGGTTGCAGAAAATGGTCTTTGATCAAAGGTGGCTGTACAATAAAGTTTGTTAGGTGGCAAATTTGACAATGAACTTAATTAAAGGTTGCAGAAAATGGTCTTTGATCAAAGGTGGCTGTACAATTAAGTTTGTTTATAATTTGTTTCAAAATTTGTTTAAGGGTGGCACATTGAACTGCAATTAAAAATCCTTACTTACATAATGCATTAAAACAACTACATTTGTACACACATACAGAAACACACACACACACTTGCTGCATAACACAATAATGCAATCACTTATAAAGTGAGAATCATATCATAGATAAACATACAAATTTGATCTTTAAATAAGGGCAAAAATGAAATACGGTAATAAAATAAGTTATTTAGCACTTCTACTAATATGAGCAAGTACATGATATTTAAATTTGGCCATTAAAAATCTGAAATCTTGTTTTTGAAGTAAAATAAGGCCACTGAAAATTTAATACCATTAATGCCATTATACTGGTCTTGTAAACAAAATTTTACTGCCATTATAAATTAAAGTATAAAAAATGTCTTCTTAGCAAAATGAGGCCATTAGAACATCAAAAAACCTGTCTTCAAATAAAACGACTGATAATTAGAAGTTTAAAATGTGCCATAAAATCAAGGTAAAATTAAGACTAATAATAAGAAGTTTAAAATGTGTCATAAAATCAAAATTAGGTCTTAGCATTTTAAAAACTCACCTAGGCAAAATAAGGTCACTGTTTTCTTTGAAAGCTAATTCAGGTCATACTGATTTTAACTCTTTATCTTCAAAGTAAGATAACATTACAAATTAATCTATTTATAGATGTTTTC